TTTCTTTCTTTCTTTCTTTCTTTCTTTCTTTCTTTCTTTCTTTCTTTCCTTTTTGAAACAGGGTTTCTCTGTGTAACAGCCCTAGCTGTCCTGACCTTGTAGACAAGGCTGACCTCAAAGTTACAGAGATCCACCTGCCTCTGCTTCCCAAGTGCTAGCATTAAAGGTGTGCGCCATCACCACCTAGCTACATCCTCCTCTCCTAGTTCTCTCTTGCTTTTTTCCCTCTTCTTCCAGGTTTCTCCTTCTATTTATATTCTTCCTGTCGGCCTCACCTATCCTTTCTCTTGCCTTGCCTGTTCAGATCTTCATTAGACCATCAGCAGGTTCAGACAAGCAAAGAATCACAGCTTCACAGAGTTAAACAAATGCAACATAAACAAAAACAACTCATCTTTACATTGTTACACAAATGTTCCAGAGCATAAACAAATGTTAACATACCTTAAAAAATATTCTACAATATACATCTGCAACTTTACCCACTGAAGCTGGCCTGCTCTTTTGGGGTGGGGAAGCCTCTTTCAGTAGCTAATGAAAGAGTCAGTACTGAAAAGCACTGATCTTATCCTATTAAATACCGCATTATTTTATCTATTTCCACCTATCCCAATCATGTGAAGGACTTTGCCAGGTTATTTTGCTTGGTTGGGTTTGTTTGTTTTTTGTTTGTTTGTTTTTTGTTTGTTGATTAGATCACAGAAATATAGCCCAACACCCTTCACTTGGCCAAAAATATTATGGGCATGCCTAGAGCCAATTAGATGCATCATTTCAGAAGAATGTAGAAACAGGCTCTTTTTCAAGGCCAACACTGTCCCCAGCGATGTGAGACAATTCCAACAGCCCTGCTGAGCATCAGCACAAGGGGGAGGTTTCCTTGGTAACTATTCTCTATTCTCTCACTCTTGCCAAGTTGCAGAGAGTTTGTATCAAAGGCCTCAGAGGGAAGCTTGGAAAAGGCAAGCAAAGCTGACTTCTTCAGTCCTAAAGGTTCTGATCCAGCTCACCTGGATTGTTCATAACACTTAGCTTTACTCTTCAAGAGGAAATGAAGGCTGACTCTTAAAACTCTAACAGACTAAGTTTTAGAGCGATGTTTCCTGATGACTAACCTGATAAGGGACAAGATGTATCAGACGCTTGCTACCCAACAAGCCACCAAACGTCAAGATAGCCAGAAAGCACGTGCTCACTAAGTGCCAATAGTACTGGACAAACGAGAAGGACAAGGTGAAAGAACTAGACCACTCCCAAGAAACCAGAAGGGTGGAGGTAGGGGTGAGAGATAGCCCTCTGTGAACATGTGCCTTAATTTTCACCAGCCTGCAATGCTTTTGCTCTTCTCAGTTAATGACCAACATGGTTACTGTCATGGGACCAAACTTCTCTCTTCTTTTAGCCTTTTGTTCGTTTTCATCTGTTTTCTTTCCTCACAAGTCCAGTCCTTGTCCCTCTTTGACCTCCCTGGATTCTCACCATCCACCATTATCTGCTGAAAGTGACTCTTTCCACCTCAGCCTTTATATTTTAGATGGAGCTAATATATATAAATGTATTCTCTCTCTCTCTCTCTCTCTCTCTTTCACACACACACACACACACACACATACACACACACCAGGTCCTTCCTCAGACTTTGTGAACAGCCAACGAAGACTTTATCAACCCTGTTGCTCCTTTCAGAAACCCAGGAATCAACACTGAGTCCTCCATCCATAAAGAAGTTCTGTAAACAACCTAAATGTCCCTCAACCGAAGAATGGATAAGGAAAATGTGATACATTTATACAATGAAGTACTACACAGCAGAAAGAAATAACGACATCTTGAATTTTGCAGGAAAAAGGATGGATCTAGAAAACATTATTTTGAGTGAGGTAACCCAGACACAGAGAGACAATTATCACATGTACTCACTCATAGGTGGTTTCTAAACATAAAGCAAAGAAAGCCAGCCTACAAACCACAATCCCAGAGAACTTAGACAACAATGAGGACACTAAGAGAGACTTACATAGATCTAATCTACATGGGAAGTAGAAAAAGACAAGATCTCCTGAGTAAATTGGGAGCATGGGGACCTTGGAGGAGGATTGAAGGGGGGGGAGACGGGGAGGGGAGCAGAAAAATGTAGAGCTCAATAAAAATCAATAAAAAATAAATAAAAGGCAAAAAGAAAGTTCTATATGCTGTTCTTTCCATCTGAGTGTAGACTCCCATACGGCTACCCCTTTGGAGAACCATCATCACTGGAGCCCCAAGACAGATATCTCGCTCTCTGTGCTTTTTCACATCTGCCACACAACCCCAGAGTTTGTAGTCCACATAGCAGAGTGATTTTTAACAGTAAAAGTCAGTTTATACTATTACCCAGCGCCATAGGCTCCCTTTAGAATAGATTTCACACGAATGATGATCTGCGCAGGTATGTGCTAACACTCATATGGTATGGTTCTTTCCAGGGAATATTTTATGTACAGAGGAAGTGAAATAACTTCAAAATTGTCCCCCCATCTCTAGTTTTCATGATTCTTAAATTTGTGCATCCTACAATGAAAGATCAGCAGGTTCCCTGCTGATCAGTGATTTCCTCTCCACAATGTCTATTTGGTGCCACTCACGTGGCCACT